TCACCTACGACATACGAAATGCCGAAATTCTTTAGTTTTTAAACATGACGTCGATTGGCGTCGCTAAAACGTGACCCGAGGATGGCGTGGGCCGATGAAGAGGTTTTCAACAACATAAACAGCTGTCACAGAGATTGTACAAAGGACACAGGGCTGATCACATGCAGATTTACTTGAGTTAGCCATGTCGGGGAGGGAAACACTAGCCCATCTGTTCCACCGAACAGACAGCCTAAACCACAGATGGTAATGGAAGCTTAGACATAGCCAAGATAATTCTTGCTTCGAGCTAAGCTTATTATATAAAAGCTTTTCTCCTTGAACAGACACGATGTTTGACAGGATATGAGTGCTATATTTAGTTTTAATAAAAAACAACAACACTTACCTTACAAGCCAATCGAACTGTGAGGCCTCGTACTTGCTGTATTAGCGATTAATCAAAGTATGGTAAACAATTATGAGGATATCTAGGTATAACAGCCGCCGAGGAGAGTCGGGACTGGTTGGCTTCGTGTCATAGCAACCCTGGAGAAACGTCTGTTGGCTTCCGAAAGCTTTCAGTTAAATAAACTGATGTACAAAAGAAAGTACACACCTGATGCTTTGGTAAAATGTTTTCCTAAAAACAGCGTAATATTTAGAAAGGTGTTTTGAATGTGACTCACACGTCACAAACATTGTTGCAATAACACCATAGATATCGTACCCAATTAGAACATTGCCAGCAAAATATTTACGTTGTTTTAATAGTCTCAAATCACCAGTGTGTACTTTCTTTTGTACATCAGTATACAAAGCACTATTTTACTCGGTGAGTCTGGTAGTGACCCGGTACTATATCTACCTGATTCAATTCAAATGTTTATTGTATGAAAAACCATAAACCACAGAAGTCTTCATACTCCATTGAGTTAATGAGTCAATATATGGAACACAGACATCGGTTCGTCGTACCTCTCCAGACGCCCATCATAAAATCATACCAAGACCTGAACTGTTAAGAATGTGTCTGGCATGGTTTATCCAATTCTGTCTACTTACTGAATCAAGATTAAATAACATTTCGTAATAAACGATCAAGGATACTTGAACTGTAAGCAAGGAACGTCATACTACCCAAACAGTTTTAGTGCGCCATGTCTTGCTGAGTGTGTGTATCTCTGATGATGTGAAGATTGTTTGGAAGATGCATTCAGGAGGTTTGATGCACTTCTACTTTCGCGGTATACTCGTGAAGATCCGAGTTAGAGTTGGTCTTCAGGAATCCATGCTTGCCTACACGTGAAGATTCGGGTTAGAATTGGTCTTCAGGAATCCATGCTTGCCTACACGTGAAGATCCGAGTTAGAATTGGTCTTCAGGAATCCATGCTTGCCTACACGTGAAGATTCGGGTTAGAATTGGTCTTCAGGAATCCATGCTTGCCTACACGTGAAGATCCGAGTTAGAATTGGTCTTCAGGAATCCATGCTTGCCTACACGTGAAGATTAGGGTTAGAATTGGTCTTCAGGAATCCATGCTTGCCTACACGTGAAGATCCGGTTAGAATTGGTCTTCAGGAATCCATGCTTGCCTACACGTGAAGATCCGAGTTAGAATTGGTCTTCAGGAATCCATGCTTGCCTACACGTAAAGATTAGGGTTAGAATTGGTCTTCAGGAATCCATGCTTGCCTACACGTGAAGATTCGGGTTAGAATTGGTCTTCAGGAATCCATGCTTGCCTGCACGTGAAGATCCGAGTTAGAATTGGTCTTCAGGAATCCATGCTTGCCTACACGTAAAGATTCGGGTTAGAATGGGCCTTCAGCAACCCACGCTGAGGCGACTAACGGGATCGGGGTGCCAGGCTCACTGACTTGGTTGACACATGCCATCGTATCCCAATAGCTCATGCTGTTGCTCACTGGATTGTCTGGTCCAGACTTGATTATTGACAGACCGCAGCAATATAGCTTTAGTATTGCTGAGTGCGGCGTTTTAACAGCAAGAAAAAAACCTTCTTGGTAGGTATGGATTTTATTCACCTTCTGTTGGATACCTGCAGTAATGAGCGGAGTCTGTGAACGGGGATCAACATCCGATGACAATCGGCGACAGTTAGTGTGCATGTCGTTTGCAGTTTATTCCTCGCTACGTGATAGCAACGCAACTGCTGAGGAAATAGCATAATAGTTCTCTATACATGGTGGTTTTAATGTCCGCCTCCATGCCATTGAACATCGTGTATAATTATCACGTACTGTAGCAGATGCATGTGACACGCATGGCTTTATTGATGTTTGTGGTTTATGACGTGTACTTGAAAGAGGCAAATGCATGTGTATAAACGGGAATACACGAGAGATGTGTGAACGAGGGTGTGGGTATATGCCGCTTTTAGCAATATTCCTGCAATATGACGGCGGGGACACCGGAAATGGGATTCGCACATGCTATCAATGTTGGGAATCGAACCCAGGCCTTCGGCTAGCTGAGTGCTAGGACCACTAGGCTACCCCACCGCAACCTGTGGGAATGAAAGTAGCACCTGTGACGAATATGTGTGCATGAAAGTGCATTCGTGACAAATATGTGTGCATGAAAGTGCACACGTGACAAATATGGGGGCATGAAAGTGGTATATGTGCAACATACGGGGGCGTGAAAGTGGTATATGTGCAACATATGTGGGCATGAGTGATATATGTGCAACATACGTGGGCATGAAAGTGGTATATGTGCAACATATGTGGACATTAAAAGTGGTATATGTGCAACATATGTGGGCATGAAAGTTGTGTATATGACAAATATGCGGGCATGAAAGTGATATATAATGACCGTCTTCTTGGATTAATTGTGGTTCCTAAATTACTCTCTGTGTAAATTGTGAGGCTGTTGCTACCGATCGAGCACGACATGCTAATGCTTTCTCCGGACACCTGTTGTCATCGCTGATTTTATAGATCTTCACATTTACTTATTTTACCTTTAACGCCCAGTCGTATACGGCAGGGCAATCTGACGTCGGCGTGTGCATGCATTCATGTGTGCGTGCATGCATGCGTGCATGCGTGTAAATATTACACCTGGTGAATCCAGTATCACAACCCATCTGATATAGAAAACTTGGAGTATGGTAGCAGTTTCAATTAATATTATTTCCTTCGATGGTGTACTAGTCAAAGATCCTGAACTCAGTGATTTAAAAATGCACATTATTCAACGTGAACCTGATAATCATTTTATCAGTGATTATCAGACAGTCATCTCATGTGCCATTACGTTACCGGTGGTAATTGTAGAGCTGTTAACCCAACCTTACTTGACCATTTGCCCCCTGTCGAAATTAGGCGTGTTCTATAGTGCTGTGCTTGGAGACTTTGGCACAAATGTCAGATGTGGAACCTCCTTGGTGGCAGCCATTAAGTGCCCTACAATTAACTCCCTGACAGAGTGTGAAATGTGCGATTTATAGATCCCGGTTCGGACTGGGTGACAGATATATCAGGGGACTGCATGTTTACAATCAACCCAGATGTGACTGGTCATTACCGGGAGATAAACCGATCGTGTTGTTAGTTCGGAGACAGATTACATTACCATATGTAGTTTATTTTGTAACCTTGTAACTATCATGACGAGACAAGTTTATTCTCTACACTACTTAAGGTGGTATATTTGCATTATGTATACAAGTTTTATCGAAATCATACAAGCTGGCACTTGTGGAAAATGGTTTATTTCAATTTTCCGATAATACTTAACAGTTGAACCATTCAACGCTTGATGAAGTGCTTTTTGAATATTCATTAGATGTAGCGTTTCGGTAGCTGGAGAGAACGTTTTGGTCTGGCAGTCACTTTGTCCAACAAGCATTCGTTTAACGCTGTGAGTAATTGTCATGTAGGCGAGCAGGGTATGCTGTTTGTTGTTATAAACGTGGGCATCAATACGGCACGGGAACAGCTGTACAACAATTGAATCTCAGTTTGACCAAGTTATTCAGAGATGCGACACTATGCTGGACCAGACACCGTTAATAGTTTCTTTCGAGATTCGAACTTATGTTTCAGTAATTAACAAAACAGTTCATTGTCGTTTCTATGTTCTATTTCTACACTTTAACCACTAGGCCACACCACTGCCCTCAATCAGAAGAGGCCAAAGTTGGGATTGTTGCGCACGTTTTCAGTGACGCACATAATCTGGGGTTTCAAGATATGGAGACTACTTTTGATTCTGTCTTGCACTGAGATCAAAATACAAGAAATATGATGAAAACTTAGCCGTTTGGGGAAAACTGTCGGCCATCTTGGATTTTGGAGGTAATCATATTTGCTACATGGCATAAACAATATCTTAATGAACACACTGAGACACAAATAATCACGGAGAACCCCTAAAGCTGAAACAAATATAGCGTTTTGTAAATGGCGGCCATCCTAAATAATGGCAGCCATCTTGGAATTTTGAGTGGCCAAAGTTTTCAGTAAGTGTTCCAAAGTGAACACGTGTGCACATTTTGTTGCTTGTATCACAAAGTGAACGATTTTCCCATTCCATTATCTGTCCTTCTAGTTAAACGTGGATGCCCGATAGAAACATTGTATACTGGCAGTCGACCGGTCCTTGTTCTAGCCCTGTTACCGAACGCCAGGCTGAGAAACAACAAGTACCATTTGAACTTTATTTTGCAAGACGCGGATCCTACCACCGACCTTCTACTCTCCGACCCGGCGGCAAACGAGTATCATGTATTTCCTTGCATGTTCTCCACAGTGCAGGGAGAAAGATCTTGTGATTAAAATTTTAAGCTTTTTTTCGTCTCCATGGATACATAGTTTATGTAATAAGTTATTCATGAAGATGATTACGTAGTGTACGATCACCACCACCTTCAGATCACCACCCTTGCTAATCTTACACTCTGTAATCGTTTCCATGAATAACTTATTACACAAACATGCCCAAATCCACTTGTACGGCCAAGAAGAATGATTGATCCCAACACTTCTTATATTTCCTCACTTGCGTAAAGCATTATTTAACAGAGACTTTCACGTGGTTTATTCTGGCAATAAAGTTTGTTTGTGAAAAAGTTTAACGATATAATGTTGTATTGTATTACACATGGGACACGTGTTCGCGGCCATCCAAACTGATTAGCAGTTTTCGGAATGGAATTCTTTATGCATGGACAGGCGAATCTCTGGCCCAAACTGTTTTATCCGACTTCTAATGATTCACTACGAGTTGTGCAACCTCGGTGTGGATCGTCTTTTTGCAAGCTATTTGATTTATCTAATCAGTCGTATGGACAGCATTACCGCAGGATGGGGATACCGTTATCCGGGTTGCCACTACTTCGAGCCGCGGTAAATTCGCAGCTCCGGTTATACCCGAGTGTTGGAAACTACAAGCTAAAATCGATGCAAATTTGATAGGGAGTCTTCCATTTTCCTCCATAAACTCTTATTTACAAGTTTCAAGATGGTGTGTAGACAAGACAGCTTTGAACCACCTGTAGGATAATCTATCTTAGTTGCAAAATCCGTGGAGACGACAAAAGGATGGGGATTTAGTGGCAATCCTTGTCGGAGGCCTGTGATATATTGTAATATCACACGCTCACTGGTCATGGAATAAACGGTGTGTTTAAACGCTTTGAAAGAGCTCTTAAACATCCATCAACATCGGGTTGAACTAAAGATTGTTTCTCTCATGACTGATAATTTGTTGTTTAGGATTGTTATTTATGTAGGATTATAATTTGTGAGAATTATAGTTGTTTAGGTTTGTTATTTATGTAGGATTATATGCTTTGAGAATGATAGTTGTTTAGGCTTGTTATTTATGTAGGATTATATGCTTTGAGAATGATAGTTGTTTAGGCTTGTTATTTATGTAGGATTATATGCTTTGAGAATGATAGTTGTTTAGGCTTGTTATTTATGTAGGATTATATGCTTTGAGAATGATAGTTGTTTAGGCTTGTTATTTATGTAGGATTATATGCTTTGAGAATGATAGTTGTTTGGGATTGTTATTTATGCAGGATTATATGCTGTGAAAAAATATAATTTGTCTTAGATTATGTATTGTTTAGGATTATCCGAAGGATTATTTGTCATGCAGGATTACGTGATTTGTAGGGTTTTGTGTTGTGTAGGATTATGTAGTTTAGGTGGTGTGAAGGATTATGTGTCGTGGAAGATAATGGTTTGTGTGGGATTATGAGTTATGTAGGATTATTTTGGATATGCGCTATGTAGGATTTTGTGTCAAGTGTAATTTTGTATTATGTAGGATTATGTTGTAATGTATTATATGTTGGATAGAATTATGTGCATAAAGGAATGTGTGTAGGATTATTGGTCGTGTGGGGGTTATGTGTAATGAATAATAAGTATGTGTAGGATTCTGTGTTGTGAAAGATACTGTGTTTATCGTGTAGGATTCTGTGTTGAGAAAGATACTGTGTTTATCGTGTAGGATTTCAGGTGCTCAAAGCACACATAGTATTAATTACAGTACATATACCTCTCATCAAACGTTTAGACTCGCTAGTGTAAATATAGCCACTTACTTCAGGCAACTGTTCTAAACTAAATTTTGCAAAATATGCCATACTGTTTGAAGGTACTGTTTACACATGAACTGATGTATTGTAAAACAAATTCGTAACGCTGTAAAGATAATTGTCGTGAGTTCAGTAAATGATGAAAATCAATGAAAATTGGCGAATTCTTAACAAAACTTTACACCACAACGCAGCTGTGCACATGCGCGATATTTGCACATGCTTTTAAGCAATTTGATGCATGATCCTCGTGCAATTCATCTGCATAAGGTTTGCAGTTGGTTCCCCAAGTTAGTGGAGAAATCAATCTTCGATGTAACCATATATATATACATAACATATAGTGAGTGTTGTGACTGAGTCTAAACTTTTGATGGGTAGTATATGTTACATGATATGTAAATATTACATGAGGGATTATGCTATCTTGGATCTTGATTAATATATGAGTACGCGTGATGTAGGATTATACCTGCAAGTTTTAGCGTGTGCCATACCTTCTAAAGACTATGTTACAAAAGGAATATCGTCGTTATTAAAATCAGCATCACAATTACGGAAGACTGCAGACATATCCCCCAGACTGGCACCTTAGGCTGCTCACTTTTAGTATGCATGGCCTCGATTGAAACACTCTGAGGAAGATGCTATCTGTTGATCAGCTTCCAGGAGATATTATTCACCATCCAAGCTGGTCACATCATGGAAGTACTGCAATTTCCGGTCACCGACGTGTACCCCGGATCGCGTCGATTGGCCGGTGGTCGTTAATAAGGGATGACAAGCAGCTTTCATTACGCGATAAGAGTCCGAGGTCAACTAGATGAGGCAGGCAAAAGCCCGAGTGGAATACACAGCGTGCTATACTCACGCCCTGGCGTCGCACAGGGACGAGCATGGATCTGCTTCGTTGAAAACATACTTACCATTGAGGACATTCTCGTCCACAGTCTGTTTACAGACAGTCCACATCACCACTCAGTGAGCGAATGAGTGAGTTGGCTTTTAAGACTCTTATAGCAATATTCCAGCAATATCACGGTGAGGGAAATGGGCTTTACACATTGTACCCATATGGGGAATTGAACCCGGGCCTTTGACGAGCGAACGCTTTAACCACTAGGCTACCCCACCGCCCCTCACCACTGGTGTATGTGTTGTTATTACGGGGAGTTATTATTTTATTAAGCTGCCACATGAAAATATTTCGTCTCTCTTACGTCTACCACCCGTGAAGATCCGGGTTAGAATAGATCTTCAGCTAACCATACTTGTCGTAGGAGGCGACTAACGGGATCGGGTGGTCAGGCTCGCTGACTTGGTTGACACATATCATCGTATCCCAATAGCGTAGATCGATGCTCATGCTGTTTATCAGTGGGTTGTCTGGTCCAGACTCGAATATTTACAGACCGCCGCCATATAGCTGGAATATTGCTGATTGCGGCTTAAAAGTAAACTCACTCCCTCACCTTACCGTTACCTGCAACCCCGATTATCCAGTGAAATATATTTTCATTTTCATGAGCGATCAGTGACGTCATTTGCTTATGACGTCATGGTAACGATGTTGTCACAATGGTATACAGAGTACTGTTATTCAATTTCCTATTGTAGCAGTCTCTCCCAGAATGATCTCTCCATGGGGGCCTTTGAATGATAAATGTAAAGGGTTCTAGAAGGGTTACTAAACACACCAGTCACGTGAACTATTCTGTCCATGAGGTTGCTACCGAGCAATGATGAATGAGGGCATCAGGTGTAGGCGCGCTCGGTTCCCTACTTTTACATAGCTGCACCCTGCAGCTGATATGAAGCTGAATTCATCGATTAGGGCATGAACCGTATAGATACTGATGATGAACGACCCGATCAGTGTGAGTGTCACAATGATGGGAGGACGGACTGACTGACTGAGTTTGGTTTTACGCCGCTTTTAGCAATATTCCAGCAACATCACGGCGGGGGACACCAGAAATGGGCTTCACACATTGTACCCATGTGGGGATTCGAACCCGGGTCTTCGGCGTGACGAGCCAACGCTTTAACCATTAGGCTACCCACCGCCCCATGATGGGAGGATGGATTTGTCGGGGGCACCTGCCGGTAATATGAACACCTGTAGGTATTTGACATGCTAGAATATAATGACCAAAGGTCAATATTTCAGTATTAAGAATACGGTTCTTTCAACCGTATACTCTAAATCTTCAACCTCTTATCAGCTTTAAAGGATGGGTCCCCCAGTGCTTTATGGACCTGGATGCTGGTATAAAGCCTGTTCGAACTGATCGGATCAATTATGCGCTGTGTCAATAAAAGCAAATAAAAGTATGAATTAATAGCTTGGTTTTTGCAATCAAAGCATATACCTGTCATTCACTAGCTCACCCTAACATACAATCGATACGGAAAATGGGGCGGTTAGATGAACTGAAAATATTCTGATTGAAGAACCGGTCAAGTGTCAAATCGTCATAGGAAAGGACATATGTTTGGCAAATATCCATATTGCTCTGTAAACAGTGGAAGCAAAGAAGCAATAAAGGTTACTTTTTTTACTGTATTTTCTTTATCCAGATCCCCAAATAGACGGCGTGTTGTTGTAACGTTGTCGCCCGAAGTGTAGTTCCTTTTCGGCAAACCTTTTCATCCAATCGTAATGAAGCATTTATCATGCTGCGTTGGTTCAACTGACCCGGAAACTGGCAAAGTAAGAATTTGATTAGGGAACGCAAACTTGAAGGCTGAGCTTCCTCTCCAATGTTTAAGCCGTTACACAGATTGGGTATCTGTTTTCTAATCAATGTAAATATCATTACGCCTTGAGCTACACGGCGCGCTGACATCTAAATCAGACATTGCCAATGACAATTTCAGGAAATCTTTTCATTACAAAAACACTAATCACAATTATGTTTGAAAAAAGTAGGACCCTCGAACAATATTTCATAAAAAAATAGTACGCCCACGTAGAACGGAAGACATATTTGTTATGCTGTTGGGAGTGTGTTACGACATGGCTACTCGTTTAGATATCTCAAGGCAACATTGGAGATGAGGGGACAGCGCTTTGGGTGGGGTGGGTGTTATGAGTGGGGTGGGTCGGGTGGGTGGGTGGTAGAGATACGAAGGGGTTCGCGAACACCTGGTGTCATCACTCTTTGATAGTGTTCCATAAGCACATGGTCATGAGATTACCGGAATCGTACAATTGGTACTTTGTATGCTTTTCGAAATGTTTTTGTCACTTATATGATTATGATGATGATTTGACACTTAATATTCGGAAACTGAAACTGAGCGCTATGGGTAGGGTTTAAACTGTGTATATCAATATACAGAACTGTATATATCATCATACAGAACTGTATATATCATCATACAGAACTGTATATATCATCATACAGAACTGTATATATCATCATACAGAACTGTATATA